CCGAGGCATCGAGCATTTGACGTTCTAGTGGTAGGAGCCCTTTGTAGAAGTATTGGAAAAGCAATTCCTCCTTCATCTGATGCTGTGGACAAGAAGCAACAAGTGATTTGAATCGTTCATAATATGTAGGAAAAGACTCACCTTCATCTTGTTGAATTCCACTTATTTTTTTTACGAAGAAGAATGATGCGAGAAGTTGGGAAAAACTTCTCCAAAAATGCCCTCTTCATACTCTCCCAAGATGTAACTGTACCGGGAGCCAACTCGTACAACCAATCCTTGGCTTTGTCCATTAAAGAGAATGGAAAAGCCTTCATCTTTAAAATACTTCCGTCAACGGTAACCGGAGTCATACTTAAGCACACCACTTCAAATTCTTTCAAATGTTTGTTCGGATCCTCCATGGACAGCCCATGGAACTTTGGAATGTGGTGGAGCAAACTTGACTTTAACTCGAACTCTTCGATTTTACCTTGGGCAGCCATGGGATATTGGATACACAATGGTGCTGCATTATCCAAACCCGAGACGGCAAGCTCCTTGAGCGTACGGTTGTCCATGGCTATACCTTGCTCTTCTCCACCCACTTGTGCCGTGGGATCCTCCTTGTGTTGTTGGTTCCTCCTTCTTCTCAAAGTTCTCTCGAAGTCGTCGTCAAAGTCCAAAATATGCTCACGAACAGGTCGGGAACTTCGAGTCATGCACTAGTACCTAAAAACAAAGAAAACAAAACAAATCAGCAACTTAAACAGAAACTTAAACAAAATACAATAATTCGAAAGAAAACAATCCAAGAGATTAGCAAAGTTGCTAATCCCCGGCAACGGCGCCAAAATTTCATTTGAAAAATAAGTTAACACACAAATTAACCCTCTTGTTGACAATTGTAGTATGGATAAGTAGGGATCGTTCTTAAACCGGGGATTAGGAGGGATTGCTAAAACACTCTAAACTGACTCAAATCTGTGAAACAAAGTTTAAAAATACGAAACTAGACTCAAAGAATGCAAAACTAAACTCTAAAACACTAAAACGAACCAAAAGAATCAAAACAGCAACCAAACACTCAAAACTGCCTAAAAACCACTTTCTGGGCAGTTTTGAACACAAAGCATCAAATTGGACGAATTTGGGTTTTAACTTGTACCAAAACACTTAAAAACATAAACCAACACACTTTCCAATTAATCTAGGAATTCAAAATAATTGGGGATTTGATTTGGACGAAAATAAACTTAAATGGCAGATTGTAAGAGAAACAGATTGTAATACAAAGTTATGAAGAATCAATGGATGATGGAATGGCTAAGGGGTTCTTCTCCACACATGAAATATATGCAACGTAAATCAATTTCCAGTTATCAATTCAATAAGTTATGAACCTCAACACTCTAAGTTAATTAGGTCCGCTTAAATTAACCTTCAGATTTCCCTAGGATCATTGAATTGGATGAATATGCATCGCAAACAAATTATTCCTAACAAGTTCTTTATATGAACAGCATGATAAAGACACAAGTTAGAATCATTACGTTCTTTGGAAATCATAAGCATCGACAAGGCATTCATAACTATGAAAAGCATGATACTCTTGCCAGGAATCTACTTAACACGATCGTGACTAGCGACCTTCACTACTTACGAATATAAATTCATAATGATTAGGTGAAACAAATTTATATCCTAGCATCAAATTCAAGCATGCAAATTAAGCGTGCACTCTCAATCAACATACAAGAATAAGATATAAATCAAATGATTAAGCAAAATGTATTCACGACTTATGTAACAATAACTGGAAGTAATCAACTCATTTCACATATATAATCATGGTTTTGAATACACCCTTAGCCAAAAACAAAATTAGCCAATCATACTTAAAGCAAAACAAAGATTACATGAATTAGACATTAAAATCCAAAGAAAGAAAACACCTAGAATGCTCCAACTTGGCAGCAAGTGCATCCAAGATTCCTCATTTCCCTTGCTTGCGGCAGATTGGGTTATGGACAGGTTTTGGGTAGTTTTATGGTGTAGAATGGATAGGGAATGGTATGGAAAGTTTTAGGGTGAGTGTGGAGGAGTGTTTGATGGTTGAAGGGTGGTAGAGAACTCGGCAAAGATGGTGGAATAAGGTGGAGTGGCTGTTATGTTTTCTGGGCACTAGAATGGTGTTTTTGGGGTGTTTTGCTGCCTAGGGTGAGTATGGACGAATTTTCTGCATTAATGATGAATATGGGAGGTTCAACCCTTTGCCAAGGGTTGTAAACATGTATATATAGGCCCCAAAAACCCTAGAGAATCAGATTAGGCAGTGGGGAAATGCACAAGGAGGGTGAATTTGTAGTGTGCAATGGTCCAAGGATGAAAATGGAGCAATGATGCAAAGTATGGAGGGTAAAATGGAGTGGTATTTCAGCTAGGGAGCATGAATGATTGTGTTCATTGCATGGAAATGAAAAGGGGAGGTGAAATGTTTCAGAAATTAGTTAAAGGTGCAGCAACATGTGTTGCACAAGGCATTAGATCCCAAATGTGGATGATGGAGCATCAATTGGTGCATGGAATGGTTGTGAAATCTGATGGGTGAAGGGAACAAGAGGTATGCAGTAATTGAGTATGATAATTGAGTGTATTGAGGCATGAAATCAGAAATATTTTAGGGGACAAGGATGATTAAGCATGCATGGGAATCCAAAGGGAATGCTATGTGGATTGCATGGCAAGGATGTGTGTCCTTTTGTGGCTGAGTTCATGATCCTTTGTACACTAATTCTTCACACTCTTAGCCTCTTTAAGTCTTCAATTTCGTCCAAACCTTGGTTCCAAATATGTGACATGCATTCCAAGCTCCATTTTGCTCCAAAATGCTCCAAAATGCATCTTCTTGCCTACTTTGTCCTTAAAATCTGAAAACACACGAAAATGACTTTAAACATTAAAATAACTAAGGAAACATGACATAAATGCACAAGAACAAGCCAACTAAGTCGCATAAATATGCTCCTATCACCGTCGTGGAATCAGCAATTACATCTTGTTTCTTGCTTTTCCAGCTAACAACCCCACCATTCAGAGTGAATACATATCCGGAGTTGGAACTTCTATCATCGACGTCAGATTGGAAATCTGCGTCTGTATAGGCTTCCACTCGCAACTCTATCGCTCCTCCATAAACGAGGAACATGTCCTTAGTTCTTCTTAAGTACTTAAGAACCATCTTGACAGCTGCCCAGTGTTCTGATCCTGGGTTTGATTGATATCGACTAGTAATGCTCACAGCATATGCGATATCAGGCCTCCCTTTACCCGCCACTTCTTCTCTTTCATCATTAGGCACCTTTTCACTGAAATAGGTGGTGTATATATTGGCTTCATCATCTTCGATCATCCTTTCAAATGCTTTTTGAAACTTCATGCAAGATTCTAGCATCATGTATGTGCTATTCCACCTAGTAGGCACATCCATAACAACTAGACCCCTACTATCCAACTTCTCACTCTCCACACATTTCTTGAAATAACTTAACCTTCGGGGACTTGACCTCACAAACCGCACGGCATTTCTAAGAGCATCCACACTTGTATCTAACCTTTTCAACCCATGTTTCACTACTAAGTTGATAATATGAGCTAAGCACCTCACATGCATAAACTTGCCATTCATAATCATTTTACTATTAGGCCATTTCTGCATTTTACGAACAACATACTCAATTGCCACCTTATTAGCCGATGCATTGTCAACTGAGATGCACATTACCTTTTCAATCCCCCACTCAACCAAACATTGCTCAATCATCTTCCCTATTTCTTTGCCTTGATGACTTGAAATCAAACAAAAGTTTAGCATCCTTTTGTGCATATTCCAATCATCATCCACAAAATGAGCAGTTAGCACCATGTAGTTCAAGTTTTGCACACTTGTCCATGTATCAGTAGTCAAGCTCACTCTATGATTGTGTATCTCCTTTTTTAAATGATCTTTCATGCTATCATACATATTGAATAACTCCCTCATCATAGTTCTCCGAGATGGAACATGCAATCTAGGCTGGACTTTGCACATCATCCGCCTAAACCCTTCATTCTCCACAATACTAAAAGGTATCTCCTCGAGCACAATAAACTCAATAATACCTTCCACACTTTCTTCTTGGCTCCACCCTTTAACAACAAGCATGTTTTTGACATTCCCATCCCCAGAAGGTCTAAAACTGCCTAGAACCTTTTGCAACTCATCAGTTGGTTTATATGACTTGCAATGTTTATTGAGATGTTTAATGTAAGTACTGGTTCCACCCCTACTGGTATCACATGCAAAAAAAGAGTTACAATGGTTACACTTAGCCTTTAATACTTGTACCTCCCCATTCTCTTTCTTTCCATCCTTTTCTACTTCTTGCATTTCCGAGACCGTACACTTAGTGAAATGATCCCAAACCCTAGATCTCTCAGAAGAAGATCTCTCTAGTGAAGCTATTATAGTTGGTTGTTTTGTCTTTGGAATAGGTGGTGCTTTTCTTTTTCTAGAGGATGAGGGGTTTGGGGGAGGCATTGATGGTTTTGAGTACTGTATGATTTGTACTTGTGTTGGTTGTGGAGGACATGGTGATGTAGCCGTAGATGATGCTACATTAGTACTACTAGGGGTACTTTGACTTTGAGATTCAGACATTATGTAAAAATCTGTAAAAATCAAATAATGGAACTATATTCATTAGTCAAATAAAGATATTTCGAAATAATTACTCTCTGGGATGGGAAACAGAAGCAGGCAGCACAATTAAACAGAGTGAACACACAACACACAAATTGTTGACCGACAAAAGACCAAAAAGGCTGAGAAGTATCATCATGTTATTAATTTGTGCAGTGTGTGACTGTGCAAATCTATGCAGTGCAGTTTGCAATCTGTGCAGTTTGTGCAGTTTGTGCAGTTTGCAATCTGTGCAGTGCAGTGCAGTTTGTTGTGCAGATTGCAATCTGTGCAGTGCAGTTTATGCAGATTGCAATCTGTTTTTAATATATAAATGTTTTGTACCTAGTGATTTTATCATAAAGTAGTTGATGTCAATGACATATAAAACATCCTTTGTCCCATGCTCTCGAATCATATCAACATTGAATAGCCGAAGGCCCTAGAAAAAGTCGATTCTTAACTTCTACCATTGCACAACGAGAGAGAGATAGAGAGAGAAAGAGAGAGAGAGAGAGAGAGAGGTTACCAATCGTTGGCGGAGCTCCCTTGCAAGGTTCTCTAACAAAGGTCGTTGAGGAAGTTCTGCAACAATGATGCCATTTTTAAATAAGGGGCCCAAGGACCAATAAGGTAGTTTTAGCAACGTATCATTGAAACAGCAATTTGCAAACAGCAAGGAAAATCATACAAGTTTGAAGAAAACAGGGAAAAAGCTTTTTATTATAACAACCAATGTATTAAACATTTTTAAAGGATTTTACCAGCAACACTAGGGTCAAGGTCTGCATCGTCTGCTGAAGCCGCAGCACATGAAACCCTTGGGAAACGGAAGACACCAGCAAGCTTTTCTAGTTCACGTTTACTGATATTGGGAAGAGAGAAACACCTTGCAACCTTTATGGCTTCCCCAACGATATAAACTTTAAAGAGAACACCACCTACAATACGGCAAACAGGAGGTAGAAAAAGTATAATTAACAACGTGGTTGAAAAAGAAATAGTAATCAAGTACCAATTACCACATTATACCGTGATTTACAAACTCCTGTAGGACCAAGGGAGGTTCGAGTTCTGAGATGGAGCATTGGTCGTAAGCAAGAAATAGTTCATGTGACTTGGCACTACCATCCACAACCAGTAGTTTGACAACTGAAATACAAAATAAACAGAGGTCAATAGTTGCAGTATCCAAGTCGGGATTCATCAGTCTGCAATAGCTGACAACAAAGCTCCCCTACCAAATTGTTCAAAGAAGCCTGCCTCCTGCCAATCATTATGACTATACATACCATGAAAACATTAGCCATGGAAATCCAGAGGATCTCTAGGATATATCAATAAATCCTTGTGCGACCATCACGTTGGTATGTAGATGCCATAATCGGTTTCATTTAGAGGAGGAAACTGTGTCCTAACACTAAAAGAAAAAACCAATGCCCCTGAAAACATACCCAAAACACACGAGAAGAAGGATAAAGTAACTCTACCGAGAGGCAATTTTAGCCCAGCTTTATCAACTTCATTTGGAATAGATGATGGATCTTTAGTGACAATCAACTGCTTTGGAACACCAACCTTGCCTATAGGAACCAAAATGAAAACTGGTCAGAAAATCTAACCACAACTTAATAAGTTGCAGCAGCCTGGAATAAATTTGAATAGAGATAGCACAAACTAATATACTACTTGAAACGATGAATGATGAATACATGTCGTATGATACATGAAACATCGATGCTATCTGTTAAATACAGTACAGAATAATATACATACCTAGATACGAAAACATATATTGAAATTCAATAGTATACAAATTCTACAAATTCTAACTTAAAACCCCTAGTACAGAATCAATAATATACATACCTAGATACGAAAACATATATACGAAAACGTACCTAGTACAGAATAATATACATACCTAGATACAAAATAATATACAAATTCTAAGTTAAAACCCCTTAAAATCCCTACACCAGAAATTCACATTAATAGTAAAACCTAATTCAAAATTACCTAAATTTTAGAGGGATGATGGTTGGTACTTGCCTTGGTACTGGTAGTAGCAGTGTCCTCGACGGTGGTGATGGGGTGATGATGGTGGTTGCGACGGCGGAGGTGGTGATGGGGGGTGATGATGTTGGTCGCGACTCGCGACACCGCTGTGAGAGTGGTGAGGTGAGCACTGTGAGTCGGAGTCAAGGGAAGGGATAGGGAGAGGGATTCGAGGGAGAGTCTGAGAATCCGAGAGACTGAGGTCTGAGGCTGTTGAGGCTGAGGAGGATGCTTCTGGAACTCGGGACTCGGGGAAGGTTGGCTAGGGTTGAAAGTTGAAAACTTGAACTGACGGTTGAGATTGGATGGAGAGATGATATTAAATCTCGTCCGTCCAATCTAACACAAACGGGCCGGTCCGAGTACCCGCGGATCCTATAATTTTGGAACCGGCCCGCCCCTAAAACTTCAATTACCCGGCCCGCCCCGCCCCTTTCTATTTTTACAAAACTAAGAACCGGCCCGTACCCGCCCCGTACCCGTATTACCCGCCCCTACCCGCGGGTCTAGGACCCGTTTGCCCAGCCCTATCACCAATCATCCATCACCAATTAATTATAAACCAAAACTTTATGAAAAACACCAAACATTTTGAATCAAAACTCCAAACCTTTTTGTTCTTGGTAAGAATATCAAGAACATTGAAGAACACACATGAAAACTCATAAGAGCTCCATGAATGTTTTCATTCATTAAAACTCAAATTTTCACTACACAAAAGAGGGTTAATATCCTAGGGTACTTAGGGGTTCCAAAAGTCACTTTAAAACAATTTTAACAAGACAAACAAGAACCCAAAAAACCACCCTTTGGATTTGGCCGAATTTCCCAACATACATGGCACCAAATTTTAGTTCCAATATTCATGCTTAAATGAACTACATCTACAACATTTGAGATGCTAAATTTTCAAGCAAAATTTATATTAAAAAACAAGAACAAAGCTTGTAACATTTACAACATTTAAATCACAAACCATGAAAAACACAAAAACACAAAAACCCAAAAGGATTCACCATAAACTAGGCCTAGGCTCTTGATACCACTTGAACGAAAAATTTTGTCCTAGCTAAGAACATGTGAGAATATTTGAACACATATGCAAACTATTAACACATTAAAGTAGGCATGCATTCAAAACAATTCTAAAACCCATGACTTTCAAAGCCTAGTGAATGGTGAACCAAGAGACTCTTTAACAACATTAAAGAGAAAGAAGGTTTTAGAGATTCATTACCCTTAAAGCTCATCCTTGTTTACACAAGGGATTCACCCAAGTGGAGGGCCTTCAAGTCACCTCCTAGCTCCTTGGATCTTCCTTGTGATTTCCTTCCTTTTGATGCTCCTTTGCTCCTTGAGGATGTGAGGAAAGGATCTCCAAAAACAATACCAAAGGTTTGGTGTCTCTCTAAGTCTCCACACACCAAGGATGAGGTGTGAAGATGAAATGGATGACTTAGAGAAGAAAAGATTGCTAGCTATTTCTTCCCTATGTGGCCGGCCTCCTTGTAGAGAAAAATAGAGAAAATGTTTCACCTCTTTGCCTCAAGGAAACCCTAATGAGGTAAAAGCTATAAAGATGCTTTTATATCTCTTTTCTTAGGTGAGTGGCAAACTTGCAATTAAGCAAAACTTTCCCACTACCCTTGCTATGGCCGACCATCTTAAGTGATTGGGCTATTTGCCCATATTTGTTTTAGTTGTCATACAACTTAAACATAATGGGCCTAGTGGACCAAACCCTTTTGGACCCCGAAGCCCAAAACTAACTTAAAAGCCCAATACGAACCTTTCGTAAAATTAATTAACTAATTAATGAATCTTGACCATTCTCAATTAAACCATTTAATTACTTATCCATCTCATTTATATTTCTTCACTTTCATCCTTACTCGGTGTACGATCCATTAGGTTCCCATTAGCGAGGCAGTGGGCGATTGTTACTCTTAACGATCGATTGTGAATTGAAACAACATTTCAATTCTCCTTTGTTGAAGATTAGTGTTTGCTAATCTTAAGGGCTTCCACAAACCATGAGTGACACCTAGCAGTATGTCATGGCTACCCAAGCTAAGTAGAATTGGTTGGAGAACCTATCTAGTTACAATCACAATGCAATACGGTCCTTCTCTAATACAATACTCTTAATCACATTGTTTGAGTGATAGTTTGTTTCATGTCTACTATCCAATGTAATACTTCTCTATATGATTCAATTGAATATGATTTGGAACATACTTCCTAAGTCATATTCGTATGCTTTGGCCAAAGACTCCCAAATCATATCTTAGAGTATTCTCCTTCCACCATGGAAGGTTAGAGATCCCTTGTTGTGCATTCATATGCCTACATGACTAGATAGCTTGACCCTAACAATGTCGTGGACACTCTCGATGGAATGCCTTTGACATGATCAAAGATCAAGGACCTAACCATTAGACATCTATGATGCCTCAGGTCAAAAGACTACTTTGCATATTGCAACTTATGAGTTCTTACATGACATGTATGTTCGAACTCTCTTTTAATCGTTGTTCAGTGTACTTGATTACTCTTTCAAGCACCTATGTGTTTGTCTTAGTGTCCAACACTAAATGACTTGAGACTAGTCATACTCACGCTTGAGTTGACATAACACATACTAACCTTAGCGGATTGTCAATGCCCAATTGGCAAACCTATGCTAGGAATATTTTAGGAATGAACATAAGAGAAAGGTCTTGTTAATTTAACTTACTTAAATCACTTCTCTCTTAGATCAAATACATTCCTTGGATTCCCTTATTGCTTAAACACATGATACAATAAATAGTGATTAACAATAAGCTTTGCCCTTCATTAAACATATAATAGTTTAATACATTAAGTATTCCAAAAGCTATTACATCAAATAAGTAGCTTTGTGGGCATACTTCCAACATCAACCTCTTTAACCTTCACTAATTCCTCCAATATTCCTTCATCTTCTTCTTCATTAGATTGGTTTCTAAATCTGTTAGATGTCAGCAATGCCTTTCTGCATGGAAATCTCACTAAGTCTGTGTTCATGGTTCAACCTCTCAGTTTTGAAGATCCTGTTAAACTACATCATGTTTGTAAATTGCGTAAGTCTCTGTATGGCTTGAAACACGGTCCCAGAGCCTGGTATGCCAAGTTAACAGTTGCATTACAATCTATTGGATTCTCTAGTTCACAAAATGATCACTCTGTTGTTAAGCAAGATGCTTCAGTGGTGTATGTTGATGATATCCTAGTTACAGGACCAGATTCTGCAACATGCAAAACTGTGATTTCTCATCTCTATGCTTAATTTCCTGTCAAGGATTTGGGATCACTTCATTATTTTCTGGGAATTGAGGTTAAGAGGTCTTCCAAGGGTATATTCCTTTCTCAAACTAAATACATCTTGGATCTTCTTAAAAAGGCACACATGGATGGTGCCAAAACCTGTGCCACTCCACTGAGCACATCTAAATTGGATCACTTTTCTCCATTACTATCAAATCTAGAAAAATACAGATCCTTAGTTGGAGGGCTTCAATACATAACCTGGACTAGACCAGATTTATCTTTTGCAGTTAATCTTGTCTGTCGGTTCATGCAAAGTCCAAGACAATCCCATTTTCAAGCTGTCAAAAGAATTTTCAGATATTTGAAGGGTTTTATCTCTCTTGGTCTCTGGTTTCCAAAATGTTCTGCACCACTCAGCATTAATAGTTTTTCATATGCAAATTGGGTCAGCTGTTATATAGATTGACGATCGACAGGTGGTTTATGTATTTTTCTGGGTGATTCACTCATCTATTGGAGTGCTAAGAAACAACTTAATGCGGCTAGATCATCAACTAAAGCAGAATATAGATCCTTAGCTAACACTGTTGCTGAATTGGCTTGGATTTGCAAATTATTAGTTGATATTGGGCTTGTTCTTCCCTGTCCTCCCAAACTTTGGTGTGACAACATATCTGCTATATTTGTTACCAAGAATCTACTTTTTCATACTTGAACCAAGCATGTGGAGATCGACTATCATACATTAGGGAGAAAGTCTTGGCAAATTCTATCACAATGCACTTTGTTTGTACACAGGATCAAACTGCAGATATTCGCACTAAGGCATTATCCAAGGATCGCTTCCTCCTTCTCCAAGACAAACTTTCTCTTCGGCTACCTTAGCTTAATTTGAGGGGGGGGATATTAAGGGTAGTAATGTAAAATGATGCTGAGTAGTATTGTTAGAGTTTGTTATACCTTAGTTAATAAGATAGGCGGTTACTCTATATGTAAATGATGGTATATATACCCAAATGTAATATTATTCAATGAATACAATTCACAATTTTATTTCACTATCTCTCTCTCTCTCTCTCTCTCTCTCTCTACATTTCTTTTATGGCTCGTTTCGTAATCCTAATCAAAATAGGATGAATTGGATTAAGGAGGAATTAAGTTGAGGAGGAATTGGAATGAAGAGGAGTCAGAATCGGATTCCTGTTGAAGTTGTTTACTTAAATGTTTAGGAATCAAAATATGAATGAAATTGAGTTCATATAAGT